AGTCAAATGCTTTAACCAGTGTACCACCAGAGCTCTAAAAACCAAACTTACTGCCATTGAGTCGATTCTGACTCATAGGGACCCCCACTGGGTTTCTGACGCTATGAATCTTTACAGAAGTACATTGCCCCATCTTCTTTCCATGGAGCAATTGGTGGGTTGGAACACCTATCCTTCTGGTTACCAGCCAAATGCCTTATCCACTACGCTACCAGAGTTCCATTAGGAACTCTACAGACTAATGGAAAAGACACCACACACTGTCTTCCCGGCCTCCCTTGGACACTGGCTCTTGAGAACTAGCTGTGGCACTTGGTGAATGACACAAAAATGTCCATAAGGACAGAGTTATATTCTAAGGCAAAAACAAGGTGATGGTCTGTCAAAAGATTTTTTTCCCATCAGTTCTGGTTTCAAGAGAGGTAAGGCCTGGAACATCAGATCCTTGTTAAAGGCATACCCAGGAAGATGTTAAGTGTTTTCAGATTTAGGTGCCAAGAGACCCTGTACACCTACTGTCTAGCTCCCTGGCACTGCTATAACAGAAATACCACACGTGAGTGGCTTTAAAGACCAGAAATTTATTTCCTCAGGTCAGGAGGCTAGAAGTCCAAATCAGAGTCTCAGCCATGTTGATTCCTTCCTTGCAGGTAGTCTTGAGTGTTCTTTGGTTCCTTGTCTCATACACAACCCTCACAACCTTCCCCTGTTTTTACTTGAGAGCATATGCTGCTTTTTGCATAAATCTGAAGTGATTAGGCTTAGGATGTACCCTCCACTAATATGACCTCAAGCGATTGATTGATTATATTACATTATATTGCATTATGGAGGGTGATTATACTCCATTAGATAAAACCAAGATATAGGGGTTAGTATTGCAGCACATATTGGGGGGACATAATTCAACCCATAACACTTTTCTACACCTTGCTCCATTTCCATGACTTCCTTGGTGGTTGACCTTGGTCAATCTTGGTCTTGCTGACACCTGGTGTCTTTGGTCTGCTGCACCTCTAGGTTATCTTGTTTTCCAGTCTCGGTCCCATTTCCTGTAACAAATCTTTTTCACCTCAATGAGTAAAGGTAAGAGTTTCACCTGGCCTGATCCAGCTTCTGGGGATGAGCCAGTGAAGAGGCCAACTGTAAAATATGTTTATTATCAATATATTAGGATTCCAGGGCATTTTGATGAGTTAGATGAAACAGTGGAGCTATTTGAATCTGAGCTATCCTACTAAATGTAGGACAGATGAGCACAGTCACCTGTTCTTAAGGTCCCTGGGTGGCACAAAGGGTGAAGTACTCAACTACTAACTGAACGTTTGATGGTTTGAACCACCCTGAGGCACCTCACAAGAAAGTTCTGGTGGTATGCTTCCAAAAGGTAAGAGCCATTGAAAACCTTAAGGAGCACAGTTCTACTCTGCATACACGGGTTGCTTTGAGGCAGAATTGATGACAGCAACTGCCAATCTGTTCTCAAGCAGCTTACAAACTGTTGTTGAGACAAGATGTCAACCTCTAAAATGATCACTAACAGAACCAAACAATATATTATGAATGCCACATGAATGGTGTGGATGACATTGATTCAGCAGTAGGAGAATGGTCAGTGCAGGTTTCAAGGTAGAAGGCCAAACTTAAATGTGTCTTTATATTTACATTGGGGGATTGAGAGAGGTGGGAAAGAGGCAGTGAAGTATCCAGGAGATAAGGGCATGAGCCACTGTACAGGACAAAGCCAGGCAGGTTCGGGCATGTATGGAATGGGGATCATGTTACAGGGCAGGGATGGGGATAGCAGGCAGAAGGCTGAGGGCTCTGGGCTGCAGAGCTGCTGTGAAGTTTAGAGGAGAGTGACATGAGTGCCTCTCAGGAGCAAATGTCCACAAGATGGCAGAAGCCCATAAAGGCCTCATTGGCAATGAGTTGATTCTAACACAGAGTGAATCAGTAGGACAGAGCAGAACTGATCCATAGGGTTTCCAAGGAAAGCAGACTTTATGGAAGCAGACTGCCACATTTTACTCCCATAGGGCAGCTGGTGAGTTCAAATCACTGACTTCTCAGTTAGCAGGCAAGTGCTTAATCACTGTGCCACCAGGGCTCCTTCCTATAAAGGTTGTTGTTATGTGCTGTTGAGTCAGCCCCAACTCATAGTGACCCCTCCTTGGGTTTTCAAGGCAGTATCACTACAGAAGTAGGATTGCCCAACCTTCCTTCCGAGGAGTGGCTGGTGGGTTTGAACCACTAGCCTTCTGGTTAGCAGTCAAGTGCCTTAGGCACTACGCTACCAGAGCTCCTTCTTATAAAGGTGGTGGTGGTGGTTGTTGTTATGTGCCATCGAGTCGGCCCCAACTCATAGCGACCCCTCCTTGGGTTTCTGAGGCAATATCACTACGGAAGTAGATTGCCCCATCTTCCATTTTCCTTCTGAGGAGTGGCTGGTGGGTTTGAACGCCAGCCTTCTGGTTAGCAGTCAAGTGCCTTAGGCACTGTGCTACCAGAGCTCCTTCCTATAAAGATAGGTGGGCCCAAATTATGAAGGGCCCTGACTATCAGGCAAGAATCCAGACTTAATCTAATAGACAAATTGGGACGGGGATGTCTGAATGACCTGAGCAAGAGAAGATGAAGTAAACTCAGTACTTCAGGAAGGGAATCTGGGAAGGGTGGTTTGGGGATCCAGTTGGAAAGAGTCACTGCGATCAGCTAGCCATGAAGAAGCAACCAATCCTAGGACTGATCTGAGGAACAAAGTTCAAGGAGAAGCCAAAAGTGAGTCTGCATTTTCTGGCTGGAGAGACTGGGAAAGTGATGGAATCTCTGAGAGAATGGAGACCAGGAGAGGAGTTGGCTTTGGAGAAGATAGTGAGCTGAGGCTGACTTGGAGATGAAGACTGGACACGCAAGGGAAGGAACAGAGCAAGTGGTGGAAGGAGACATGACAGGATGCAGTCAGTTGTTAAAAAATAAAAAAACGGAGAAAAGGAAGCAGAGAGAAAAGGGAGAGGGCTAACTACAGTGAGGGAATGAAGGCAGGAAGGGATCGGGGAGGTACAGCCAGGGAAGGAAGGGGAGGGCAGGGGCGGGGGCGGGCAGGGCACAGTGTCAAGGAAATAGGGAAGCTGCTTCCAGACACTGACTGCCCAGAGTTGAAGGAAAATAAGGATTTACAGAGGCCACTCGGTTTGATTCATTTAATAAATATGCATGGGCATCTTTGTGTGCCAGGCCCTGTGCTAGGCTCTGGCATGTTGGTTAGGAAGTTATCCCTACTCATCAGACATCTACCAAGAGCCTGTGATGGTGCCAGACTGAGTTCTGTCCTGGGTGTGGAAGAGGAAGACTGAAGCTGGGTCCTTCCTAAAAGGTGCCCTCCTTTATGCAAACTTCAATCCACAATGAGAATAAGAAGGCTGGCTGCTGGGGTGGGGGGGGGGGTGGGAAGGAGAGGAAATGGATGGAAAAATGAATACTGACTGCTCATTCAAAACGTTTGGCATTTAAGTGATAGAGGACTAGAACTAGAAAAGTAGCTTGAGGGGATTGAGTAGTCTTGCAACACTTCCCTCCACCCCCCATCCTACCAAATAGGTGGACTTAGATGTTTCTAGGGAGCTCTGGTAGCATAGTGGCTAAGACAGTTGCCTGCTAACCAGACGGCTGGCGGTTCAAACCC